ATTGATATTGATATTGATATTGATATTGATATTGATATTGATATTGATATTGATATTGATATTGATATTGATATTGATATTGATATTGATATTGATATTGATATTGATATTGATATTGATATTGATATTGATATTGATATTGATATTGATATTGATATTGATATTGATATTGATATTGATATTGATATTGATATTGATATTGATATTGATATTGATATTGATATTGATATTGATATTGATATTGATATTGATATTGATATTGATATTGATATTGATATTGATATTGATATTGATATTGATATTGATATTGATATTGATATTGATATTGATATTGATATTGATATTGATATTGATATTGATATTGATATTGATATTGATATTGATATTGATATTGATATTGATATTGATATTGATATTGATATTGATATTGATATTGATATTGATATTGATATTGATATTGATATTGATATTGATATTGATATTGATATTGATATTGATATTGATATTGATATTGATATTGATATTGATATTGATATTGATATTGATATTGATATTGATATTGATATTGATATGATATTGATATTGATATTGATATTGATATTGATATTGATATTGATATTGATATTGATATTGATATTGATATTGATATTGATATTGATATTGATATTGATATTGATATTGATATTGATATTGATATTGATATTGATATTGATATTGATATTGATATTGATATTGATATTGATATTGATATTGATATTGATATTGATATTGATATTGATATTGATATTGATATTGATATTGATATTGATATTGATATTGATATTGATATTGATATTGATATTGATATTGATATTGATATTGATATTGATATTGATATTGATATTGATATTGATATTGATATTGATATTGATATTGATATTGATATTGATATTGATATTGATATTGATATTGATATTGATATTGATATTGATATTGATATTGATATTGATATTGATATTGATATTGATATTGATATTGATATTGATATTGATATTGATATTGATATTGATATTGATATTGATATTGATATTGATATTGATATTGATATTGATATTGATATTGATATTGATATTGATATTGATATTGATATTGATATTGATATTGATATTGATATTGATATTGATATTGATATTGATATTGATATTGATATTGATATTGATATTGATATTGATATTGATATTGATATTGATATTGATATTGATATTGATATTGATATTGATATTGATATTGATATTGATATTGATATTGATATTGATATTGATATTGATATTGATATTGATATTGATATTGATATTGATATTGATATTGATATTGATATTGATATTGATATTGATATTGATATTGATATTGATATTGATATTGATATTGATATTGATATTGATATTGATATTGATATTGATATTGATATTGATATTGATATTGATATTGATATTGATATTGATATTGATATTGATATTGATATTGATATTGATATTGATATTGATATTGATATTGATATTGATATTGATATTGATATTGATATTGATATTGATATTGATATTGATATTGATATTGATATTGATATTGATATTGATATTGATATTGATATTGATATTGATATTGATATTGATATTGATATTGATATTGATATTGATATTGATATTGATATTGATATTGATATTGATATTGATTACTAAAGTAACCCTAGGAATCTTATACACAAATCTGTCCAAATTTAATTCTTTTACTAGTTTTTTATTGATTAGCGATATCTCGGATCCAGAATCAATCACAATTTTAATCGCTTTATGTTTTATAAATGCATCTAAAAATATAAGATTATAATTAGAATTTTGTCTTTTGTTTCCTATTGCTACATGATTCATCTCCCTTCTATTTTGTCGTTGTAAGCTCTGATTATTTCTATCGTCCCTTTCTTCGTTCGTATTCCTATTCAGAGGATTTTGTGCAGCTCTGTTCCTGTTGTGATTTTCATATGTTCTATATTGTGTGTCATTCCTGTTATCGTAACTTTGTTGTCTATTGTAATTGTTGTAATTTCTCGGCCTATATTCGTTTATTGATTGGGGATGTCGGTTTCTCTGATCATAATTTGATTGATACCTTCTTTCCGGTCCATTATATTGGTCATGTTGTCTTCTATTTCTTATTTCTCTTCTTTTCGCTTTTTTTAATTGAAGCAATTGGCACAAACTATCAATATCTTGATAGTTTCTCAAAATCACGTGATCTTCCAAAGTTTCCTCAAAATGTCTGCTGATCATTTCTACCAGCTGTTCGGTAGAATATTTGTATTCCAGATATTTTGAATTGTTATATATCTGCAAAGTATATCTTTCTTCAGATATTCCCATTTTCTCGTGATATTTTCCATTCTGTAGTTCTTGGTTGATTTCCCTCTGTTTATTTTCCCCCAGAAATAGTTGAGAAATTTATTTTCGAAATCTATCCAATTTTCAAACTCATCTTCTTTACTTTCATACCATTACGCTGCTGCTTCTTTCAGATACTTTCTAATGGTTTCTTTGCAATCGTCAAAATATCTCACATGTTGCAATTTGGTTTTCAAATTTTTAACAAACGGTACTGGGTGTGTTTTTCTAATATCCCCGACAAATTGTATGTTCGCCTCGCTTGTTCCATAGATACACATTTCCCTTCTTTCCCCGGAATTTTGTTCCTTCTTGATTTCGTCCATTTTTCTTTCTATTTCTCGCATGTCTTCTTGTAACGTGTTTTCAAATGTTGTTTCTAATTTTTCTAATTCCTTTTTCTAGACAATCTTGATTTCATTTATCTTATTTTTTACTTTATTTTCTTGTTCTCCAATTTTAATTTTAATTGCATTAATCTCTTCTATCTGTTGTATCATTTCACTTTTTTCATCTCCTCTACACATCCTTTAATTTTCTGTTCATAATTTTCCAAACGCTGTCCTATATTCCTGTTATTTTCTTCTATTGTTTGCTTGGTTTCATCCATTTTTAGTGATTTTTCTTTTTGGTTTTCTTCCATTTTTAGTAATGTTTCTTTTTGGTTTTCTTCCATTTTTAGTGATGTTTCTTTTTGGTTTTTCTCTATTGTTTGTGTCTGCATTTGCATCATTGCTAATAATTTTTCTAACATCCATGTTTCTTTTCTTTCCTCCATTATTGTAGCATTTCCTTCATTATACGATCCTTCTTCAACAATTATTTCTTCTTCTCTGTTATCCCCTTCCTTTTCTGCATTTTATTTTGTTTCCTTGTGACAGACATGTTGTTTCTTTTCGTTATTGTTTTTGTCTCCGCCAAATGTGAAATTTTACAACACTCTATATTTGCAGGACACGACAAATATTTCTCCCCAATTGTAATAAATTTTCACGACAAATATCAAATCTGCAATCACTAAAATTCAAATAATTCAAAATAAATATCAAATGTACAATTAGTAAAGAAAATAATAACCAAATAATTCAATAGCAGTAAATATCAACTAACTGCGATCAATCAATAACTCAAATTTTTATCCACTGGAAAAATTGTCACAATACTTTCAAATTCAAATTCCCTTAATGTTATTATTTTTTTTATCTCTGGATCACCTGTACTTATTCCGGATCTCTTTCTCTTCCATCAAATGTAAAGCTGCAATATTTTCAAGCCCCACGTTTTGGAAGCCTGTTAATGTCATATTCAAAGTCTAAAGTGCGCCAAGCAATTAATTAGCTAATTAATTAATCAATTAAACTTATTTAAAATGATGCAAGTATGATTCTATCACACTATTTAATTCTCTTATCTCAGGGTTTTACTCGTGCTTCAATATCTATGTTTTACATATAAGAGGTAAGGTCCAAAGAATACCGGAATAATAAAAAAAATATATGATACAACATTATATATTAAAATAAAAATATATTGAAATAAAATTCACACTCAAATATCTTCAATAAACAATATCTTAAATAATGATTATCAAACTTTTGTTCTACGTACGTGAACCTTGAACATTAATGGTACATACAATATAAATTAAAATCTTAAATCAAAATTGTTGTTCTCAATATCCTAATCAAAATATTTCTATCTTTTCTAAAGCAATTATAAAAATTGTGTTTTTAATAAAGAAAAACTGATGAATAGCAAAACTATCTCTCTCTGATAATGAGTTGTCCAAATCCTTGTTCCTTGTAGCCTACACTATCTATTCTTAGCAGTCCGCTGCTAAGGAACAAGGATTTGGACAACTCATCATCCGAGAGATAGTTTTGCTTTTCATCAGTTTTCGTTATTAACACAATTTTTACAATTGCTTTAGAAAATATAGGAATATTTTGATTAGGAGATTTAGAACAACAATTGTGATTTGAGATTTTAATATATATTGTTTGTACCATTAATTTTGAAGGTTCACGTACGTAGAACAAAAGTTTGATAATCATATGAGATATTGTTTATTGAAGATATTTGAGTGTGAATTTTATTTCAATATATTTTTATTTTAATATAATATTATATCATATATGTTTTTTATTATTCCGGTATTCTTTGGGCCTTACCTCTCACATGTAAAGCATAGATATTGAAGCACGAGTATAACCCTGAGATAAGAGAATTAAATAGTGTGATAGAATCATTATCATATCATTTAAATAAGTTTAATTAATTAATTAATTTAATTAGCTAATTAATTGCTTGGCGCACTTACGACTTTAAATATCGCATTAATATATATATATATATATATATATATATATATATATATATATATATATATATAATCTGCATGTATATAAGCTGCAGAAAGTAGTCCAAAACAGTACACGTGTATATTTTTTTGTACTATATTTGTCAAAGTGGATTTGTTTTGGATTTTAGTAATTGGGTTTATACTTCTGAAAAAGCAAAAATTATAACGTTATTTAAAAAAGATTTATACTTGAATTTTCAATTAAAAACAAATAATTAAAATATTTAAATTTTGTATTTCAGGCCTGGCCCTACTTCCTGCTGTTTATGCTAATTGAAAATATAATTTTATTTATGGAAAATAAGCCGATTTATAGACTTAATGATACACTAACCAGTATATCTCACGGCTTAATACAACATTCAGGAAAGTAAGTATAAGTCAAAACTAGGTTAAACCGCAGGTGTAACGTTAAATTTGTTCAAATCTGGTACTATTTGTACCAATAGGAATTATCGGATAACAGTTTAGTGGACAAAAGCTAAAAAGCCTTCGTTCATTATTTTACTATTCTTTTTATGTTGAAATAGGTAACACAACCCTAGAAATCTAAACCTATCCATTTTATCTACCTTTTATCATTCTTTTGGAGTATCTTGTTTTTAAAAGAGAGATAATTTCGTCTTCCCATAGCTTAATCAAAATCTCATTCTTATTTGATATTCTACCTTTTTTAGGGAAGTCAGGTATATCTACATTATTATATGTACTTCAAAAAATTTGGTTGTAGTAAAATATCACTTTTAATAAAAAATAATGTTCGGTTCACAGAATTATCAAAATTATTCTCTCCCTTTCTCTCTCTCTCTCTCTCTCTCTTTCTCTCTCTCTCTCTCTTTTCTCTCTCTCTCTCTCTCTCTCTCTCTTTCCAATGAAGCTACAGCCCAAATCAAGCCTTGGCCTTCTCCAAACTATGCCTTCAACCTTGCCGGTTGCTGCCACTTCATTCTCAAACCTTTTTCGTGGCCTTCCTTTTGGTCTTGCATCCTGCATTTTGCTATTTTTGTTTTTTGTCAATTTTTCGGAGTCTCTGAAGTTTAACGAATTTAGAATTATTCTCACAATTCTTATATTCAAGATTCTGATTATTTAAATGATCAATATCGGAATTATAAATATTACCCATATCACTTCCTGGCCTATAACTGCCTCTGCTAACTGAATATGATTCATTCAATTTTTCGTATCCTCATATAATCTCACCAACCGTCGCTCTTCTTTTGGGATCCATATTTAAAAAAAAACATTTTTATGTTTCAGTCAACGTAAAATTACTTTAACTTGCTCTATTTAGAACGATCAAGTGCTCGTTCTATACTTGAGCATCAATGCCTAAAATATATGCAACAAACGTTACGATCGGTCTATCGGAACACCTATTAAAAGTTCTAAATCAATTGTAGATATTATATAGCGCATCTCACATTTTTCGTTGAGTATGATTTCAATGGGAATACAACAGAGTTGTCAATAGTTGCTTGATGTAACTAGTACTAATCACTTATAAATACTTTTTACTATATCACTATATATGTTTACTATATATAAGTATAATCATTATGTTTATGTTCTGTGTCAATAGAAATCTAGGTTATTATAATAACGCAATTATAGATTATATTGTTTTATTCTATTTTGTCATAGACATATAATCATATATATATATATATATATATATATATATATATATATAATATATATATATATATATATATATATATATATATACATACATATATATATATATATATATATATATATAAAATATTATTATTATTATATATAAAACCTTACTAATGGCTAAGGACACAGAGCTTAGAAAACTAGGCAACACTTGAAAGAAATATGTAAAAATATCATTTGCAGATGAAAAGCAGATTGCCATTGAAGACATAAAATGTGAAACAGGACCCCCGATGACCATTGAAGAAGTCATGGTAGCTATTAGAAAAAGTACAGATGGTATAGCTGTTGGGCCTGACAAATTTTATACAGTATTTCTGAAACTTATATACGAACAAGGAATAAAATGGATAACGACTATATTTAACATCATATATGTAGCTGAAAATATTTCCCAAAGCTAGTTAAAGTCGACATTCGTAACTATACCAAAAAAACTAAATGCAAAAACCTACGAAGACTACAGAATAATTAGTCTAATAAGCCACTTACTTAAAACGTTTTTAAAAGTAATATATAACAGAATATATAAATGTCAAGAATAAGTGTCATGGACACAATTTGGTTCGGCGATATCTTAGGCACCCGAGAAGCTCCATTCTCTATACAAGTGCTTATCCAGAAGTGGAGGGATGCCAACTGTAATGTATATATTTTTTGTATCGACTACAAAAAGGCATTTGATAGAGTGAAGCATGACAAGCTCATATCCATCTTTAAAGAAGCGGGATTGGATGAGAGCTTAAATAAAATCATAACAACAGTAAAAGAAATCTCTGTGAGAAATTTACAAGGCAGGTCAAAGCTAAAAAAGCAGTCTTGGATGACAGATGACATATTGGATTTCATAGAACAGCGGCGACCAGCGAAAAACAATATATTCGAATATAATAATCGATACATATCGAAACATAATCGATACACAATCAGTTCAGTCTCAAACTAAATACTTTCACAAGAAACAAAAAAAATCGTAACAGTCTTCCAAAGAAAACAAAAGTCACGAGACCACTTCAAAAGAAACGGAAATATCATTACAATCTTCCAAAAGAACAAAAAAATCATTACAGTTTATCATCAATAATCAAACTTCCAACTGGGTACATAAATTTCAATCTTAATGGCAAGAAGAGTAAGGAAGAAGAAGAGTATATATATATATATATATATATATATATATATATATATATATATATACAAGGTGAAATCGAATGCTTATATTACCTTAAAAGCTCAACGATCACCTGACGAATGGCGGACGAATCCAAAACTCATCGCCCTAGACGTTCCTCTCTTCACAACTAATAAGGTCAAAGACATAGTTTGGAAAGAAAATAAAGAGGCAACATCAAGAAATAAACCTCATCATTTCACGGATAATAATTGAATACAACATCGTCATACAAATCACAAAGAAACGTTTATAATTCTTTAATAAAACTCGAACAGGGTCACAACATAAGACTGGGGAATTCTTGGTGGGTCATTCAACGGTAGTACTAGAAATACTTTAGATGTTTAACGAACGTGGTCTCACAGTCGACATAAACAATATTTTCACCATAAGCGGCGGCCAGGTACTTTCACCTCAGCATATCAAAGAGTCACAATGGACAATGCAAGTATTTATACCTCTGCTTCTGCCAAATCATAAACACTACATCATAAACACTACAACAAGAAGGAATGCTATTGAGACTTAGATAATAGTCTGACATCAACACATAGAAAGGCTTCTCCCTTCTAATAATTCACGGAAAGGGGATGCTGCTGTAAATGCAGTCTTACTCAACAACAGAAATATCCAAGGATACACAAATCCAGGTCACGTGCCTGTACGTCCTACATAATATTTCAAAAACACAATACTCAAACCACAAAATAATACATTTTAGACCATTAACATAGTTCCACTACATCTGACCACACAAAGACATGGAAAAACACAAAACTAACTGACGTAAGAATACAACAATACTTCCGCTATATATTCTTAACAAATCGGCCTTAGCCAGGAATACATGAAGTCGCATTATCACTTTCTTCTACTTGTAACACAAAAAAGAACTAGGGAAAAATATGAAGAAATACAAGACTAACAGACAGAAGAAAAATAACAATACTCCGCTTTGTCACTAACAAATCGGCCTTAGCCATGGACAAGCGAAGTCGTATCATACTTGATCACAGAAAAGAACTAGGGAAAATACAGAGAGACACGGACTGCAAAATACAAAAAAAAACATTTTCTTTTTCGGGAATTAAATAATTTTCATCACAGCACCCGTGCTATGAAATCTTTCACGAACATATTTGACCTATATTTTTGTACTACAGTTGATTAAAAACGCAAAAAATATCTACACACTTAAAAGAAATAAATAATTTCATTAACGTAAACAAAATTCATCTCTCACTATTTACTTTAGACGAATTTGGAAATAAACAGACGATTATCTTACCATTCAAAACACCGACAAAAAGAAAATCACCCTTAATAAGCATACCAAATACGTACTATTTCGATCTCAGAAAATAAATGGAAATATTTCTACGTAATTTTTCGAAGACTAAACATAAAAAACGAATATAAGAACTTTGGAAAAAATTCTAAAATAGTAGCAGTGGACTTGATTTAACGAAAACTTGGATAAAAGCAAATATACAACATAACTGAAAAAAATGATTCAAAACAAACTCAACGAACTACACATACAGGGGGGGACAAAAATACTAAAACAATGTTTGGATGAAAGCAAATACACAATGTAACTACAAAAAAATGGTTCAAAACAACTAACTTAATGAACTACACATACAGGGGGATACAAAACAACAGACTCGATAAACTACACATACAGGAGGAGACAAAAATACTAATAATATTGAAAACTTGACTTCTGAGTGACCTACACAAAGTAACACAAAATAAAATACCTTGCTTTTGTTCTGAAAACTAAATGAGGCTGCTCCTAGGCAAAACTAAACAGCATCTCCGATCACGAGTATTATACTTGTAATCATTCAGATACAAAACAAACACAAAAGGGGACTCAGGGAACACAATCTCCTATTAACCCGTGGCATTAAAAACACCGTCAGATATGGTTAATTAGAAAACAGACGGGGACATAGGGGACTACTTTTCTTTCACAATCTCCTATTAACCCGTGACATAACATACGTCGTCAATGAAATGGATTAGGACAAGAGACAAAGGGCAAAACTCAACTAAACTCATCGTCTCAAACAAAAATTACTCTACATTTACTCAAACTGACCGGATAAACTAAAAACAATTACAAAAACCGATTATTCTGTAAAGAATGTCAAATAAATTTAAAATAAATGCAACGATAAGGGTATTATTTGTTACTGTTAAAAACTTTTTAAAATTCTTTTTAATATTAAAACATTATTTAAAATTCGTATCTAAATATTCAATCTCCAATATTTGCTTTCATTTACCAATACACATAAAATAGATACAGACATTTCTATAGTACATTACATAGAAAAACAACAATACATATGTCAATATACAACAAATACATATATTGATATACAATAATACATATGTTAATACAAATACATAAACAAACTGTTTGTGGGACACTCGGGCATTATCTGAAAGACGGGCTTTCATATAAATGGCTGAAAACTATAGAAAAATTGAAAAAGATACATGGCTAGGGGAAAAGGGACAAAAATATAAAAAAATTCCACACGTTGGGGGCGCCATTTGTGTAAAGAAAGTACAAATTGGCGCAAATCATGCTCTACGTTGGGCGATAATTTGTAACGAAATTACTTTGCCTACCACATGGGGTATTAATATAAGGGATAGAAAATTGGGGACAGAAATTATGGGGTGGAGATAGGGCAAGCAAAATAATCGAAACATAGGCGAATGGCTCTCAGGGTTTGTTAGGAGAGCTGGGGTCGTGGATAAGTAAATGGCAAAGGCGTTTAATTGGGGAAACTACAAAAATATGTAACAAAAGGTCATGAATCTCTTGAGACAGACAAAAGAAAAAGAAACAGGAAACACCGCTAGTAATCTAAAAAAGACGCCTCTTCGAGGTGCCTAATTATAACCATTACAACAGCTAGTTGTAACTAGGGGAATAATGATAAGAAATGCAAAATATATCTTTTTCAAATGAGACTCAAAAAAAGGTAAGTTAAAAAATAAACAAAATGTTAAGAAAAAAATTTAATATTTATAGTGTCTTACCACAAACAGTTACAAAACATAGAGAATACAAGAATACTGAAAAAAGACAATACAAAATATTACCTCAATAGTTGCAAAATACAAAAATACAAAAAAAAACTTACATGTCATCCATTTACAAACTCTATGAGTTGGAGATACTACAAAAGCTTACAAATGTTACCGCATAGAGGTTAACCCTTTTTTTTAAAACAAAACAAAAGAATATCAAAAATAATAAAGCGAGCTGTCTTATGTTAAAATTAAAGTTTAAATCTACGAACAATTAAATTGATAGCTAAACTCAAAACCTAAAATTTACAATTTTTAAATGTTAAAATTTTTAAATTTTAACGAAAGAAATTATTATTTTATGAAAAAAATTGTCTGTACTTTAAAATTTGGAATAAAAGTTACCTGAATTTTTCACTAAAAAATTACACTTTGAATTTTCTGTAACTGGACGTCACTGGTATTTCTGGAACTATAACTGGGTGTAGACCTGGGCTTCACTCTCTGTGCAACGAACACACGAACAAATCAATCTCCATACTGCCAAAGCCTTGGATGATAACCAGGGAGAAACAAAACGAGGATGGAAATGACGATTCTTCCAATCCTCACTCAAAACATTAACTGAACCATTAACTTCACACTGCTACACATTTTCTATGAAAAAGGGCAAAAACAGAAAACTTTACAAATTCGACATGAATTTGGACATAATGCTTAACACGTAAATTATTAATTTAAAAACGCAATTTGCGCCTGTGACATAAACAAACAATAAAATGGTTTACATTAACTCGAGCCGACCTAAGAAGGAATTAAAATATAAAATCCACAAGGAAAAAATTCCTGTAGCTGGCTGTATACCACGTATCACAAAGTTCCCAGCTGTTCTCCGCGTGTAGAGGTTCTCTCTCACCGGCTCTGGTAACTCGATTCAGCCATGTGTTACCTTTAGTCAAATTTAATTTAATACTGAACATCACAGTTATTTTACAACACAATGTACAATCTTTTATAACTAAATGTAATTTAAAGGGTTTTTACCCTAGTATTTTGGTGGCTCAGGCATTGTGACCTAGCATTTTCGATTTTAAAACCTGATGATGGACTGTGTGGTCCGAAAACGTTTGTTTTATTGATGTAGCCCTTTTAAGGGTTTTTTAAATAAATATACCCATTTACAAAGACTAACCTCTTTTTGAATTAAAATATATTTCGGGTATTTTAACTCATACGATTAGGAAATGAAATACACTAAAATAATTCTTCGTTACTTTAATACATATATGAGGGTATTTTATTCTATTACATATACGAGAGGATTCCAATATATATCAAAGAATTAATGAAATTGCAAATGCTATACCATTGATTAATAAATTTCGAGTACAGTATGAGGTGAACTTCGCAAGTGGCTGTTTATGTTACTTTAATTGACTGGACATTGTTGTATTAATATTGTACTCCTAACAATTTTTACAACGTTTGCAAGTGCATATTAGTACTGATCGGTCAGCAGGAACTTGAATTTTGGAATAATGGTTCTAAAATAAGTTTGGTATCTCATTGGAAAGGAATAAAGGTGAAAAGGTGATAATAATTATAATCATTGACCTAAACAATGGAATAGAAAATTAAAAGAATCAGTGTAAATGGTCAACCAATAGAAAGAGTAAAAACATACACGTACCTTGATATGAACGTCAATGAAAATTGGGACCATTTTCTAGAAATAAAATATAGGATAGAGAAAACAAGATCTGCATTTCAAAAAATAGCTAAGCTATTGAAATGCTAAGATTTATCAGTACTCATAAAAATCAAGTTAGTACGTTATATCTTTCCTATAATGTTGTATGCAGTTAAGTCCTGTACTCTTAACTCAAACAATGGAACAGCAAATTAAAAGAATCCGTGTAAATGGTCAACCAATAGAAAGCGTAAAAACATACACGTACCTTGATAAAAACGTCAATGAAAATTGGGACTATTTTCTAGAAATAAAATGTAGGATAGAGAAAACAAGATCTGTATTTCAAAAAATAGCTAAGCTATTGAAATGCTAAGATTTATCAGTACTCATAAAAATCAGGTTAGTACGATGGTATATCTTTCCTATCAAGTTGTATGGAGTTAAGTCGTATACTCTCACAGACTCTACCTGCAAGAAAATTGAGGCTTTCGAAATGTAGCTTTATCGTCGAATACTGAAGGTACCGACCACGTTACCACATAATAATAAAGAATCAGAATGCCCACTCTGCATAAAAAAATAATTACGCGCATCTCGTTCGCGCAGACGGAATCAGCCATATTTTAAACGGAACCAGTACTGTTCAGTGACATTTTATCTGGTGTGCATAGACAAATTAACCTGGTTTAATTTATTTACGGCAACTACAGACATAATATGCACTATTTTATTCGTACTTTTAGTTGAAGAATAGTTTAAATTATTTCGAATGTACTAAATTATTAATCTTTAAAAATTTAAATTACAGTTCTGTCGTAGCTTGTAACAAATTTCACAATCCGAGTCTATGTTTCCGTCTAAAACATGGCGTTCGCGTGCTGACAAACTTCAAAGGCGGCCTCTGAGAGTAGGCATTCTGATTGTTTATTATTCTGTGACGTTACTAACAAGGACGTTTTATTAAAAATGCAAAAAAGGAAAAGACAACCACAATAAAAACTAATTACTATTTAACTGGGAATAAGCCACAATTAAAGGTTAAAATACGTTTATTGACGTTGTAATTTCCACTTCAGAAATCGTTCTCAAAATACAAACAGTAAACTAAACAAATTGTGTTTTTTTTAAACAAAAAAAATTTTGTCGAGTTTTAAGGGAAATCCTGAAATATTACGGGGATATCCCGATATCCTGAACGTTATATAATTCGATATATTCAATATATATTCGATATATAATATCGAAACCGAACAAGAAAATAACTTCAAATTCAAGCATAATAATATTTTACAAGAATTTTTATTGTATTTGTTTTTACAGACTAGTATTTAGAGGCAGCGAGAGTTACTTGTATTTCTACATACATCAACATTTTTCCCTTATAAATCTTCCTTGGAACAATTCGATGACATGGTATGTAGCAGCGATAGGAGTAGATTTTTGTTACTACTGGGTCCATAGAGCCTGTCATGGTATGTATTTATATTTTTATATGTATTAGCAATTCAAATAGTATATATATATATATATATATATATATATATATATATATATATATATATACATATATATATATATATATATATATATATATATATATATATATATCCATTTTATATATTATTATTATAAATATAAACCAGGTTTAAGGGATATTAAGTGTTTTTCCGAATTAGTGAATCATAATTGTATAGAGAGGGGACATTCACGAGGAAAATGACAATAGCGTTGGTTCGACTATTTATGCAGATGAGAATTTTTTAAACAAAAAAATTTGAAAAATTAAATTTCAAAAGTTAAATTAAAAAAATTAATATAAAATTACGTAAATTGGGAATCTTCCGGCGTTCTGTGTTTCTGTGTTTTTTGCTGATGTATTTAGGTATTAGATTATTTTTGATGTTTGCCTTGTTTTGATGTTTCTACACATTAATACCATTTTAACGCTACAGATCTTTTAAAGTTAAGACCATTTATTTAATTGTTTCTCATATTAGATGTATCTCTAATAGGTAACACTCTTTTAGATGAACTGATGATGCTCAATAACCAATAAATAGATAAAGTTGCACAACTCTTGTCTTTTTTACCTCCAAATTGACCGAAAACATCCCATTCACTTACGAGTGCACTTTTTTAATATTAAATTAAACGGTCATACTTCTTTATATATACCGGGTGGTGAATCGTCAAACGGGCCATAGGAAACTCAATGGGAAATTTTAAATTGTTGAATTGCTGCTTCCCTAATTATTTTAGATCAAAAGTCATAAAAAAACTATTTGTAGAGGACTAAATTCTGAATTAAAAACAAATGCTAAAACCGTTCTACGAATCAAATGTACTTCAAAATTTTGCAAAAACATAATAGATTTTTCAGACCACCCCTAAAAGTTAGGCCACACGTTATACAAGAATATATTATAAAGTGTGTTTTTTGTCCAGAGCTTACATATCTCTGGTTTTATCATATTGATGTCAGATGTTTGACAATTTGAATTGTCAATTTTTTTTTATTTTATGATTAAATTATAAACAATGAATTTTACTAACTACTACTACTACTGAACAGTTGACGAAAAATCGCATAATGTTGTATTCAGGCAATAGCGCGAACCTTTTCCTGCACCGGATCTTTATTTAACGTAAGATATTCTAATACACTAAAATTTAATTCCATGTTAAGTTAAGTTATACAACAATTCAATGAATTCCAATATACTGTTACTGTGATCTTTATTCCTAATAATAATATATGATAATTTCTAAACATAAAACTATAACAAATGTTATAATAAAACATGAATAAAACATTTTTATTATTGCTCTTTTCTCCTTAACTGAGTACATTTTTTAATCAACTTAATTTTTCTTTTAAATAATAAATCACAAAATTTTGGCCATTTAAATCATAGATAAATATAATATAGTTGATTTAAATATTGTCAAATATTAGAAACGTCAATATAACAAAACGCAACACGTTATACACATTCTTTTCACGGCGTCTGGCCTGACTTTTAGGGGTGGCCTGAAAAATGTATTACATTTTATTGTCTATTCGCTTAGCTAGGGCATATTTTGACAGACTCATTGTAGGAAACCTACAACACAACAATTCCTACTTCTCAGTATTAATAGCTCAAGTATACTACTATTGCAGACTTCTTTCTTTGAAAAAAAGAAGAATTATTCTAAATAGTGGAAGTGTATACTAAACCCATCAAATTTTCCCTGTATATTTAAAATATAATATTTGAATTACTACAATTTAAAATATTGTAGTAAATATTTGTATTATTCGCGTTGTTTATTTAATTTAATATAGTTTTATTATCTTTGTTTAATTCTTTTGTTAGTTCTATTTAGTTAATTAGTTAGTTATATTTTAAATTTTATTATTATGGATAGTCAAAGTTTTCCATTTGTTCCATCAGCCAATGCGTTGGTAAGTTTTTCTTAATAAATATGATGTTAATGTTTTTTAAAAGTTAATATTTTTAGATTAGTTGTTTCTAATTTAATATAATAATAATAATAGTCTCCCGTTTTATACCGCACGCGGCTTTGGGAGTATAGCAGGGTAGTCTGCTATATCTAGGGCCTACGGTATACAAGGAAGGTAACATGGCCAGTGCTACGCTTCAACCGCCTATTATTACCCCTGGTTTTACCCAAGGTACTCATTTTATTCAGGCTGAGTCGACCTGGGGCCTATAGACATTTTTAAAAATGCCTAGTTGTTCTTGCCGGCGGTAGGATTCGAACTCACGACCACCGGCATGCGAGGCAAGCACACTACCGCTTGCGCTACGCAGGCCCTTTAATTTAATATAAACTTGTTTATACCTACATGGAGGTTTTTGTTGTTTGTTTGGGTTTATATAACTGCAGACTGCGGCCAGGACACTGAATTCATTCACCATATGTGGAAGATTTTAACATCCTCAAATATGCTAATGAGCAAAAATTACTACCTATTGAACCACGAATTTGCCTAGTCAAATTACTAATATTTGCTTTAAGCATATGGAAGTACACTTATTTTGTAAGATAATAAGACAACAGTTTATGTTAATGCTATCCAAGGAACTGTTAATCTTTAATCATTGATTCCATCCTAGTCACAACATAAGGAACTTGCTGTGTCTTATTTAACCTCACTTTGACTTTTTAATTTTGTAGAATTTTTTCCCACTTTTTTTATTTTGTACAATAAATAATTTTATTATTTGTTATCAATACATTATACGGTGTAAATAAATAAATATTGATTGTCGGCAAAGTTCTATTTTATTTACTTTTGTTTACATTAATATTGACTAAGAGCACGTATGCTTGGTTGTATAGTAATTTCCAGCCACTTCGAGTCTGTCAAAAAGTAACTAACTTCGCAAAAAAATAATTACTAAAATCACTAGACAGTTCGGACTGGGATTAGCGAACCGGGTATAGCAAAATTTTGGAATACGTTTAAGTCGTAGAACAATTTTAACAATTGTTTTCGATACATATTTGAGTCCTCTAGAAATAGTTTTCCATGACTTTTGGTGTAAAATAATTAGGGAAGCAGGAATTCAACAATTTAGAATTTCTCATTGAGTTTCCTATGGCGCATTTGACGATTCACCACCCTGTATATATATATATATATATATATATATATATTGTTACAAACATGCTTTCGGCATGACTCATATAACGGTTACATCTCGAAACGGCTTCCAGAATCATCCTTAGATCTCTCGAAGGCAAGATAACAATGGGCCACGTGTGCGAATTAGAGGTGGGAACTTTCTAGAACATAGTAACTTAGGTATATATATGTAACGACCTTAGGAGTTAGTTTAGTTGATAAGAGAATACCGAACTGTAAAGTTATAAATAAATATATTTATATAAATTCGAACCGCTCGTTTATTTAATCACGGTACAATTGGTGTCAGGTGTGGGGTCAATTGATTTATTTAAAAATAAATCCAACAGTGGAAAAAAAGAGACTTTTGAACTTTTGAAAAGTATTGTTCGTCGGAAACATCCGCGTAGTTCAGTAGTGATCGTTGTACGAAAGAACATTTTAAAAGTACGTGTGTGCCTGACCAAAGATGCTGCTAGTAGAACTTTCAGTAAAACAGTTGCGTGAGCAACTAGAAGAACGCGATGAAGACTGCAGCGGGTCCAAGAAGATACTACAAGAACGACTGAAGACTGTTCTCAACAAGAATGGAGATGACCCAGAGACATTCCAGTTCCAGTCAGCAGAGGAAGCAGTTTTAACAAAAATAAAAAATGTGTCACAAATGATTGAAGAATCTTCGAGAAAAAATGATAGTAAATTTGAAAATGTCTCGGAAATGATTGAAGAGACTTCTAAAAAAATTGAAGAATCTTCTAGAAAAAATGATGATAAATTCGAGAATGTATCTAGAAGATTCGACGAGACTTCACAAATTATTAAAGAAGTAGCTAGACAAAACGACGAGAAGCTCGAAAAGGTTTCAAGAAGATTCGACGAAGTATGTACTCAGAACGATGAGAAATTTGAAGAAGTCTCTAGAACATTCGATAAGGTAGAAGAGAAGATCAAACAGTTAGAGAGCATGATAACTAACACGAAAGTGCTACCACTAATTAATACGGTAGCTTTAGATCCGGTAGTGAAAGAAGAATCACCTAGAGACGAAATGGCACATCATATGAGATTCAAATTGCCACCATTTGATGGAAAGTCCTCTTGGTCTATATACCTTAGACAATTTGAAGCTATTGCGACAGCCAATCATTGGACAGAACAAGAAAAAGCTGTTTCCTTGACTGCTGCTTTACGAGGTGATGCTGCAGATATCCTAAGATCGATTCCTAAGGGTCAAGAAAAATGTTACCAGACCTTGTTTACTCGACTAGACAAACGTTACGGAGATGCCCATCTACAACAAGTCTACAAAGTACAAATAAGAAGTAGAATTCAACGAGCAAGTGAGAGTTTGCAAGAATTTGAAGCGGATATTGCTCGTATAGCGCTGTTGGCCTATCCAGAGGTACCAGACAACATTTTGGAAGAAATTGCTGTAGATGCCTTCGTCAATGGGTTGAGAGACAGTGAACTACAGAAAGCTTTACGACTAGCAAGACCGAAAGTTTTAGATGAAGCGCTCGCCATTGCCTTGGAACATGAGATAGCTAGTCGAGTTTCACGGAGCTATCAAGTACGAACCTCTGAAGAGAGTGACGAACGAAACGATAAACGTCTAGAGGAAATCGTACGGAAAGTAGTTCGTAACATGATGCCGAAGAAACGTGAACCCAGATGTTGGAATGGTAACAACGAAGGTCACATTCGCCACAAAGTGCAAGAAAATAATACAACAGTCAGAAAGCTAGAACAGATCGAGCACTGGGCTGGAAAAAGTCATTCAAATGCTGATGTTCAATCAAGACGGCCATACAGTGCAAATCGTAATCATTGTCTTGA